GACACAAATCTAAACCATATTACCTTATCTCAAAAATCACATATTTTTATTTTTTTTTTTTTTTTTGAGATGGAGTCTTCCTATTTTGTCCAGGCTGGAGTACAGGGGCACAGTCCCGACTCACTGCAACCCTCACCTCCCAGGTTCAAGCAATCCTCCTGCCTCAGCTGCCGGAGTACCTCGGATTACAGGCGTGCACCACCACACCCAGCTAATTTTTTTGTTGTTGTATTTTTAGCAGAGACAGGGTTTCACCATGTTGGTCAGGCTGGTCTCGAACTCCTGACCTCAGCGATCCACCTGCCTCAGCCTCCCAAGTGCAGGGATTACAGGCGTGAGCCACCACACCCAGCCACTTCGTGGTTTTTTTGTATATGCATATCCTTGATGGCCTGGGCAGTTTAATAAGTGTTCTTACAGTGAACACAAAGATTTGAACCTCTTGATTTGCATGATTTTGTGGGGTTTTCCAGGTCAAGTGAATAGCCAACTATTTTCACAGATTACCTCAGAACACTTAGGGGAAGAGCAACATGGTTATCTTTTAACAGCAACTTTTATAAAATATAAATAAGTGAGACTAGAAAGCACTCCCTTGAAATCTGCAGGTTTGGATGATCATAGTGCAGGTTCTCAGTGTGTTATTTCAGCCTTCTGTTTATTCACACAAAGGAAATGGTTTCCAAAAATTAAGGTAGAGTTTTGTTTTTCTAATTTACTTTAAGAGCTTCTTCTAAGTGCTAATTGACCAGAGTCAATTAGATTTGGATTTCAGTGTCTGAAAGTTGAATTTTATCTATGTGAAACAGAGCTTGTATATTACATGGATTGCACAATTTAAATTACGGTTTTTGGCTTGTCGTGGTGGTTCACACTTATAATCCCAGCACTTTGAGAGTGAACCAGGCAGATCACTTGAGGTCAGGAGTATGAGACCAGCCCAGCCAACATGGTGAAACCCCATCTCTACTAAAAATACAAAAATTAGCCAGGCTTCGTGGCCAGCACCTGTAACCCCCGGCTACTTGGGAGGCTGAGGCACAAGAATCGCTTGCACTCAGGAGATGGATATTATAGTGAGCCAAGATTGTGCCACTTAGATTGTACTCTAGCCTGGGCAACAGAGCAAGACTCTGTCTGAAATATATATATATATATGCGTTTTGTTTTTCTGTCTTTCCATAGCTGGGGATGTTCAAAGGAAGTCTGGCTAAACATGTTAAAAAAGGAGAGCAGATATGTTCATGACAAACATTTTGAAGTTCTGCATTCTGACTTGGAACCACAGATGAGGTCTGTACTTCTAGACTGGCTTTTAGAGGTATGTTCCAGCAATACAAATTTCCTTTCTCTGTATGATGGAAAAAATATTTAGTTGTAAATGTGCTTTCCATGTACTCTGAGTTTATTGTCCATCCCCAGGAAGCTTTTTTGAGGTACTTATTGTAGTTGATGGCACCCAAAGTGGAAAGTGACTCTATAAGAGTAAAATAATAACAAAGCTACTACATATAACTAAACTCAATTCAGAATTCCTGTTATCTGTGGATACTGCTATGTACCAGCCACTGTTCTAGGAGCCACAGATACTCAAGGTGAATAGAATGTATAGTTGATTAGGTTTTGAATTCTGCTATACAAAGTGAAGAACTAGAACTAGGCTTCAGGGCCCTCTGAAGTCTTTTTCTGCATTACCAAAATAAAATGATGATTAGGAATCCTGGTTTCCATATTCTAAACCATAATGAGACTATGGATATCTGGAAGTGCTGAGCTCTCTATGCTTCAAGTTCATTCTCTTTATTATAGTCTTCTGTTCTTTTCAGAAATATACTATACCACTAATTTAAAGGAAAGGTGATCCTGAAGCCTCTATAGATTTGTGCCAGAATTCTCTCTCTTGTTTAGGCTTATTTCCTTTCTCTGGATAATAACTGTAAAAAAGTCTCAAATTATTATTGAGGAAATGATTACTTATGTTGATGACAAACTGATTTTCTCTCCAACTCTTGGATATTTGCTCTGTAGTCTGTCTTTAAGACAGAGATGAAGCCTTCTCAGGAAAAAATACCATAGACTTTTTGGAGGAGTAGCACATGGCAGGAATAACTCTCACAAGCTATTAGGAAAGTTTAAGACTATAAAATGTTGTCCTTTTGCATCAGGTCATTTTTTTCCTTATTCTGACTAGAAGGAAAGATTGGATTTTAATCATGGGCAAAAGAAGGCACTGGGTTTTGACATTTTCCTGAGTGTCTACTGATCATGGAATCAACTTAAGCGCAATTACATTAATTTTTAATTTTTTCCTTTTTGTTACACTGATATTTATCCAGTGGCTATCCTATTCAATTTATTCCTTTTTGCCTAAATATGATTACATATGCAACAGCATACAGAATATATCAAATGCAGCAATGTTGAACTCTACTTTGTCTTAGTTTATATTCTTCAGTCTAGGAATGCAAACTTGATTTAACATTTAAAAATCTATTAATTTATTGCCTTAACAATAAATGAGAAAAATGCTGAGATCGCAAC